TTGCAAATTAACAATTTACGATATGGTTTTCCTATTTTACAAATTAACTCTGTAATTTGAAATAATTACAATTCGATTGCCCTCACCAGTGTTCTCCTTCACTACAAATAAACTAAATAAATCTTTGTAATTCATAAGAAGTAATTTGTAAACCCTTCTTAGTGTTTAGCGTTCCATTTTTCTAAATGAGGGTCAGAAGTTGAAATCCTTATTTTGAGAATCTTAGTAAAAACTTATCTATATATATCTAAATTTATTGTTAACATAAAGTAACTTATTCAGTTTGTAAGCTACGAGATAAACATCTAAAACAACTAAGGCATTTTAGTCTAACCTTTTCAGACTGATTGGAATGTTGGTAATTATCTTCTTTTTAAAAACCGACAAAGCTTACCTGTTTCTCAGGATTTCTATAATGATTTATAATGCGTAGGCAATATGGTCTCACTAGACCGCCATAAGATACAGAGTAATTTGTATGTGATCTTACACTTGAAGAAAATAGTCAAATTTTCCCATCATTCAGTAGAAGAATTTTACTAGGACTGATTTTAAAGTGACACTAGTCTTAGTAAGTAGTAGGTAGAGTTAATTACTCCACAAACCCTCAGTTTTGTAGTGAGAGATAACGCAACACAATGCAAGTCTAAGACACACAAAACTGTACTATGGTTGAATTTTGAAACCGTACTGAATCAGCATTAGTTCGATGACGTCAGAATGACTACAGTTCGGTGTGGATTTTATCATTTACCATATATTTATCTGATTTCTTTAACAAGAAACGTAAGCAAAGTCAACTTTTAGGGATTCGCTGCCGTTTTAGTTCCTAAGAATTACAAAATTGTTTTACTTAATTACTACTGCAACAAATTTTATTATTTAGGGAAATAGGTATAGGTGCAGTTAAATTCTCAATAATACTTTGTTTTAAATGGAGAAAAGAGATTAGATAATGAGAACTTGAACTTGCTGGCACTCGTTAGCCGACATAATTTACTAATTTGAAAGAATTCAAATGTTGTCTTCATGTTTATCATTCATTCCTTCATTCCAATTAATTTATAAGTTCAGATTCAATAAGTATGAACTGATTTGTTTGTTTTGAGAAGATCTAACTATGTTATTTTGTGATCGTCTACGGTTATTAAAACATAGCCTATTATAGTGAAAACTTTTTATTCTTATATACTGATTTTAAGAAAAATAGGAAAAATTAGTAATTTTTTATTTCACATTAACCAAAAGGAAAGATTGACGTCAGAGATGATGTATATATGATCTACTCAGAACTACCTTAATAGAAAAGATGGCATTCAGCTAGTTACCGCATGGCTAATGAACATTCATAAGCGATTATACCTCATCTCTATTTACCTTGTTTAATTTTACATGAAACAGTGATCGAACGGTAATTAAATAATTTTAATATTTTATACCTCATAACTATGTGATTGATAATTCTCAGTTTACTTATACAGTCAACTTTTCAAAAATATGACTGACATTAAGCGAATATCAACTGTTAATAACATAAATTTACTCATACGCTTGACTGCACACATTTATTTTTTACATTGTCAACTGTCTAAGCTGGGGATGAACTACACTGCCGTTTTTTTATTTTAGCGTAGTACCTGAAAGCTATGCATAACAGAACGGGAATTATTATTCTTGACTCAAATCTTCTCCTATTCATAGTACTCACTAAACGTGTACTCTCAGAAAGCCATGAACAATGGAAATTTTTCTCCGACAGGATTATCACTCCATGCTGCTACGGACGTGTCACGTGTAGTGCAGTTAGTCATGATGAAAAAAAAGTACGACAGCAAAAATTAAACTAGCTATTTCTGTGATAAATATTATGCCAAAATATGTATACTATAATGACAAAATTAACGAAAACACGAGCGTTATTACTGAATACGAGACTTTTAAATAACGTGACAATGTGGAGTTTTTCAACCACTCAACTTTAAACACGTCTCACATCACAAGTGACTTATTTTATTCTACTTACTAAAATCACCATCTGAATAATTGATAATTTTGATTTTAATCATAATTAGCCTGAAGGGGTCCAGACAAGATAACTGGACGAAACTTTCAAATCATCTAAAATTTCAGTCGTTGAGATTATTTCACAAAGAATGTGATTTATTTCACACTAATATTTATTCCATAAAGTTTCAGGCGAAACTCGGTGTTAGTTGTCGAACCGGTCAAATATGACTAGTTATTTTTTTGGTGAAGTTTTTCCTTACCGAAATAGTTCATCTTTAACCACTGATATATAACTGTATTGAAGAAGGAAACTATATATTTCGGATCTAAAATATCCTCTTAACTACGAAAATTTTGTCATTAGGCTGCTGTTCTTCATCGGAAGCTCGTCATAAAGTGAGCATAACAAAATCAGTTGTGTAAAGTCCATGTGAATCTACAAAAGCAATGATGAGCTTACAATGATCGTTTTCAATGTAATTTATGAGCATAATCTTAACTAAGAAGTCGAATAATTGGTTTTTACTGAGTTATTTTATTATGACTTGATCGAAAAGCTAGATCACGTTTTATGACTCCGTGATTTTTTATCATTAATACTTCTTTTTTTATTTTCAGTATAACGTTTTTTTCAGTGTATTGATTTTATTTCAGCATGGTTTACTCAGGTTGATGCTCAACGTTTTAAGTGAGTGTGAACGTTGTTCACTATGACAAACACCGTCATCAGTTCTTGTATTAATTCTCTGTACCTCCGCTACATGAGATATTCGTTAACCAATCATCAAGCTGAGATAAATTGTAGTGTCTGTACTTTTAGTCGACCCCACAGGACTTGTCTCAGCCTTTGGACAGTTTAATCGATTCATTCTTCTCGAGTTACTCACACAGCTTCCGACTTTGCCAGCGAGTCGTTTTTTTCTTGATTGTTTGTATTCTAGTGTGTATGTGCTGCTTACTTCGCTTATTTTTGTCTGACTGTAAATGCTTAATGCACTGAGCAAATCACATCTGGTGCTGAAGCTTTGGAAGATGTCAAAACCTTTACATATCTGAGCAGCATAATTGATGAGCACAGTGGATTTGATGCAGAAATGAAGGCGCAGACTGGCAAAGCAAAGACAGCATTTCTACATTTGTACAGTATCTGTGACTCAAAACAACTATCAACAAACACCTAAGTCAGAAATTTCAATACACATTTGAAGACGATTCTACTGTATGGAGCGGAAACTTGGAGAGCTACCAAAGCCATCATCCAGAAGATTCAAGTATTCATCAACATTTTTCTACGCAAAATACTTTGGATTCGCTAGCCAGACACTATCAGAAATAACCTACTGTGGGATAGAATAAACCAGATTCCAGTGGAGGAGGAAATAACAGAGAAACACAGGAAGTGGATAGGACACACACTGCTGAAAGCACCCAACTGTGTCACAAGAAAAGCCCTCATATGTAGTTCTTAAGACCAAAGGAAAAGAGAAAGTTCAAGAAACACAACTCGCCGACAAATGGGGACAGACGTGAAAAGAATGAACAGCAAGTGGACAGAACTGGAGAGGAAGGCTCAGGACAGATTAGGTTGCAGAATTCCGGTCAGCTGCCTATTATTCCTCGGGGGTTACAAGCGAAAGGAAGTAATAAATTCTTGGTCATACTTCATTACATAGAACTGGCTCATTCGCTTTCTTCGCTTCGCTTTGATTTGCTTTGCTTTAATGCTTTGTACTCTCATGTCTCCCTGCGTGAACGAGTGCTTGAAATAAACTCACACAATCGAATCCATATTTGTCTTCTAATTACCACCATCGCACAAATGGGGTTCGCCTAAGTATTGTACGCGGAGACTGAAGAGGAGATTGATGGCAAAGCATATTTGACTGTTCGTCAAAACTAGATCGCGGGCCGCTAAAGTAATGAGCCCTACTTCAAATTTAACGTAGCTCACTAAAAAATCAGTGTTTAAATGGATGTATTTTGTCTAAAGTTTACGTCTGTTAGTAGGCGAAATAAAGCTTCCGTGACAAATTTTTTGTTTTCTTATTTGCCTTGGGCGAATCACAGTGATTCCTTGTTCAAGCTTATCAGTCGTTTAAATAAAAATAGTTATCTTGTTTCAAACAGTTATTAGTTCGCTTGAATACAGCGGTTTTATAACACTTTGGACACCAGAACCATATTTTTTCAACTGATGCTTCCTCACTTTATTATGAATACGTTTATCAAATACAGTTTTCATCCAGAGTTTATTAAATCAGAGCTTCAATAATTATTACCTGATACCCACCATATTTAACGTAAAAGACATATATTGACTTCCCAGATTTTAACAAATACAAGTATAGTAATATGCAAGAAAATCTATAACCGAGTGAGTTAAATAAGTACGAATTTTATCCAGGGGACAAACTGAATGAAAATTAGAATAAAGTTTAATTTGTTTTAGAGACTTCATTTATTAATATCCATAAAGAGTACATGTATTATCTATCCTTTGATCAAATGAACTAAAAGGACTGAATGATTTCTATTTCTGCGACACTGCTTAATTCCATAATTTGAAAAGAGGAATATAAACAGTCTCCACACAGCCAAAGCCTTACTCATCAACATGCTTGGACCTAGGGAGTTATGAATTTTCTAGCTTTGTCATTTAGAAAATTGAGTTAATCGAAAATTCACAGGTTATCTCACAATCGGAACTTTTTAAACGATTGGTTACACCAGACATACAGCGAAGTATGTAGAGTAGAGAAAAATGTTTCTAAAAATTATATACCATTATACTATACTGATAGTATGAAATTGTCTAATTCGTCATAGAAATTTCATTATCTGCTAGGTCACCTACGGTTGTTTCATATATTCTCATCAAGTTTTTCAAGGTTGAATGACTTTTTTGCTCTAGTGGCTCTAGTTAGGTGCAGTATTGTATGTCTCTCACTCTAATGACCTAGATACTAGATGGCGATTGGTTAATCAAATAAAACATGGTAGAGAGAACAATTGAGAGTTTGAATAGGCGAACATGTACTAAATTTAGTGAACAGGGTACAACAATTGAGTGGCATACACGGTTTGTGCCAGTGACACAGAAAAAGGAAGATTCACAAAATGTGGTAATATCTGAATGGCATTATAACATCTTCGAAATGACAGATTCAGTGAGTGAATGATTTTTTTTTCGTTAATTTTACATTTTAATTACACTCTTACTTTGTTTAAAATGTTTATTTAGTTGCTTCCTCTCTCTTATTGAACAGTAGTCGTAGACTGTATTTTCCTTTCAATATCAAATGTATTATGATATTTTATTACCATTACATTAACTATCGACCCCACATTTTGTCTTCCTCAAAGAAAACTTATTACCCCTGTCTATAATACAGTTTTGTTAAATCACTTAAAATAATTTCGTTTGCATAAAGATCTCACTAAAAGGCTTTTTGTAATATTAATATCTCATGTATACAAACTGGTTAAACTTAAAGAACAGTATGTTTCACTGTGATTAAGAAGATCAGTTTTAGAATTTTCTCAGCTGCGTAAATTTATCTTAGTATGGACAAATGAACGAAAATTTCACCCCGTATTTAGGCTTTTATTGACTGTGAAATTTTGATATGATTAACTTCAGTTCATCAAAGTCACTCACTGTTGAGCTGAGCCATGTAGGTAGGCGGAAATTACCTGGTCAGGACTCTCACGGCTATGGTAGCCCTTGGTCAAAGATACTAGGTAGCGTGGACCAGAGTTTGATGAAACGGCACACATGCACTTAGTCTTTTTTTCTCTTAGATTCTAAGTCCCAAAATCGTCTTATATTTTCTTTTTCCCTTCACTTGATCTTTTTTACTCTTACGGAGACTGTTATTATTTAATTAATCATAATTGTCAGCACAAACTTTAAATCGGTCCTATGGTATGAAGCTGAGGCTTTGAGGATTACTACAGACTCTACGATAAAGGTACATGTATTTATAAACAGCTATCTCTGTTAGATTCCCCAGATCTGTTAAGCGGATATCATCAGCAGTAAGTTACTGTAATAAGGAACAAAACTAGCTGTCAGTTGGAGAGAAAATTATGATAACACTCTGAAGGAGAAACCATTAAACTGGATCACAAAGCAATCTTTTACCTGAACCCTTCAGGGAAGAACGGAAATCGACAGATGAAAGGATCGCTAGTGCCGATAATTGAAGGTAGAAATCAAGAGTATGAATAACACTTGGCGGAAAATGGAAAGGAATGCCTAGGATAGTATTTTGGAGATCCCTGGTCGTTGGTCTATGTTTAAAGAGGGGTAGCAATTTTATGAGGAAAAAGAGAAGGATTAAAAATTAACCGAATTTTATTAAATATTAGTGTTACTTGTTAGAATATACTTCTTTCCTGCCAAAAATATAACTTCTAGGTCAAACATTTATCTCTTACTCATTCGAAAATTTGTTTTGGTTCTTGGTAGCGAAACAAACATAGTTTCATCATCGATAAGATGATAAGATCATACACTTTTTGATTATTTGATTTCGTGGCTATGCTCACTGTTCGGGTTATTCACCGATCTCTTCCACTTGTAGAGCTTCTTAATCATTACCAGAGTTGCTAACTCGTTTGTTGACCAATTAAATTCTAAAACCTCATGAATTCATTTAAAAAGCTGATATTAAGTTGAACAGCGGTCACTTTTCCAAAAAACAATGCCGTTGATTCATAGTATTGTTGGTTAGACTCGAGTGATTAGGTGGATATAACTCTGTTTAAATAATCGATTTGGACAGAAAGTGCTTAAATTACTGCTTGATATATTTTAATATCAAGGGAGCTATTCGACCTAATTTCATGACAAAAATTAACTATGAGCTTTTATTTATTTTCAATAAATCAAAGTATTGAACTTTAATATTGATATCCATTTACTAATCGCAACAGCGTTGCCATGTAATTTAATTATAAAAATATTTCGTCAATTCATGATTTGAAGACAGTTTAATACACTCAATTTAATTTAATGAATATGAATCTGGTAAAACTTTTAGATTTAAAAGAGTATCTTGACTGATAAAATAACTTAATCAGCGCCATTTCGATTATTAAGAGTAGACTCTTCTTTCAGTGCAGTTTCTGGGAGCTTACTGACCTAGATATGGATCACTATCCATGATGGCTATGGGCAGTAAGTGTTTTCATCTTTTTATTAGCTGCTTGGTATATTTAATACCAATGATTCTCACAGTTGTAACTTTTATACTGTTAAAAATATTATTGCAGATATCTATGCTACGAGCCCAACTTCTTGTTATTTTTCTTTGGAATATCATTTTTCACATTTTTGATAGCAGCTCTTCATTTAAAACTTTCAATTCTCAACGTGGTATTGGTATTCATTGATAATCACGACAGGTGAAAAAATTCCCTTATTTTCGCTTGAGATGGTGCATTCCGATTTCCTTCATCCCATTTCAAAATAATTGCATATTTCCTCGGGTGTTTGTCTACGTTATTCTGTACTTCCCATATTCTCATTCTCATTTTATCCTTATTTGGTATTCACTGACCAATGGTTTAAATACGACTTATTTGGTAGTTATTACTGAAGGAGCATACAGAACAAAATAATATACCACATAAAAGGTTAAATATATAAACACTATGATAGATCACACTACAACTTTAGTTTTCTGCATACAAATTCGATTTATATGGAAACTTAATTACTTATAAACTAATATTCACCATGGTAACACTAAACTACAATATGAAGTAGAAACAAGTGAGTAGTAGGCTTAAGATAGAATGAAATAATGAAATCATAGATGAATTTGCATGCTATTTTCAAAACGAATTTGTTTAGGAAATGAAATTAAGTGAAGGGATACATCGAAACACATAATCTCTGTTATTAATGTCTATTATCAGGTTTACAGTATTCAGAACAGGTTGCGTTATCAGAATACAGTATTCTAATTCAACAGCATAATTCATAAACATTAATATATGCAGTATCTGTAAATGAAATCGAAACGTTTACTTTGATATATTTTAGTAACAGAATCGTAACAAGTATATGGCCATTTCAGAGACAGCACTCTTACATAAACGGCAGAACTTAATATTGTGAGCACATCAGAAAGTTGAATATAGATACGATGTTGAATTCCGATACGGCTCACGTGATAGTGATTTGTACATAAACTGCTTATTACTTTTATTCCCACTGAAAAAGCAGACCGTAAAGATTAAACTGAAGAGTTGCTGGATGATGTACACTGTTCAGACTAGTATTTAGAAAGCTTATATTTCACTGCTGATTTAATAGGATACATGTATAAAAAACGAAGATCAATCTAAATTCATTAGTGTCAAAATCATCAACCCTATAATTGACTGTAGTTTGTGTTAAACGTATTTCAATTAGTCTGTCGATTTTCATGTTAACAACTAACATGCTTGACAAATTATTATATTGCACCGAAATCTTAACTACTAATAATGTTGTCATGTTAATGCACTTCCGGATCCTAAATTCTTATTCTAAATATTTAATTCACTGAAAAATTCCCATCATATTGAAGCACTAATGTATGAACAGAGAATATGCTTTTCAGTAAATTCTCTTCAGGTTTTACAATTATATATCTAAACTGATCAACCAAAAAGTGATCAGGTGTGAGGCAAAATTATAGCATGTGAATTGAGGAATGTTTGTTAAATGAAATTGTCAATTTGGAGAGATGACTAGTACGAAGTGTCGGTTTTAATGAAATTGTAAGATTAATAATCATAATAAATATGAATAACATGAGGTTAATGAGGTGAAACAGTTTTGTGGTAATTGTTTTAATTCGTAATTGCTTTTCGTTACAGATTAGTCCCCTTTGGAGTATCACTGGAAACTTCACAGTTGTCTTACTCCAATATGGACACTTCAGACGTGCATAAATAATTTGTGTAGTGAAACACCAACATCCCTAAAATATTTGCTGTTTTTTGTTCATATTTCATGAAAATGGGAATTTCTTCCATCTACTCATGCCACTATTTATATCAGAGAAAGAGGAATTATTCAGTATGAGTTTATCACTCATTGGGGTATTTACTGCATAAAGGCTAGGCTTGCAGATTGAAACTCACCATATTCTATACCCAATTTTTATGTATTATTATAAAGAGAGAATAACTAATTAATTGAAACTAAAATAACATCTGTTGACAATTACATAATATTGTTTAAGCTAGAGTAGATCATAGTTTATTTTATTTATTTATTTAAACACAAAAATATTGGTACAAAGGGGTACCTAAATATGTATTCACTGCATATCTTATTGAATTTGTGAATAGGCTGGAATACTGCCTGTCTGCTCATACCGAGACAGGTGGTCTTCTTAGGGAAACACTCCGACCCTTTGATCATGAGATCTAATCCATAAAAAAGTAAAGTAACGTTAGGAGATGCAGTCATATGGTAATCAGTGACCAACAATAAGTTCATGCGCCATTTCTTCCCTCGGGTTCATGTAGCCCATGATCAGTAATGGTTTAAGATCAGAGTCTTTCAACTTTCCATGGTGGATCCTTTATACCCACCAATCCGGTTAAGACACCGAACATTCACCTTTCGCCTTCTTAGCTTAATAAATAACCCCTGATACCACAAGGCAGTGATTAGAATTTCCCAGACAGTAACTGTACACGCGTGTATGGAGCATTTTGAGGGAGAGTGAACTCTCTTCATTCTCAACCGTCCCAGGTCATTTAGAAGCACATAGGTTATTACTTTTTTGGATAGATTTCATTCCAATACCACAAAGTCAAGTAACCTTGCAGCCTTTTTCAACCAGATGTGACAGATTTACTATATCTCATGGCCTTAATTTCTAAACTGAATCTACTAAGGCGAACAAGAATTCTTTGTGTGGTTTTGATTGGCTACTTTAACCATTCACATATTTGTATGTCTATCCTTATCAACTTTTAAATGGATATTCTGGGTCGATAATTGGTCAAAAGTCATTTTTGCATCTGTTCACCCAAATTTAATGATGTTTATCATTTTAATATATTCTGATGCAAACATTTATAAGAAGCACTTTTACGATGGTGCTGAAATGTCTACCTGTATGAAATCGGTGTACTCATCTGTGACTAACTGCTCATTGAGTAGGTTTTCACACCAAAGTTTGAATTGATATTATCAAAGCTAGTACGCTAGGATGAACCAAACCACTACTTTATGTTTTTATCTGTTTATCTAAATTTCTATACAAAAACCGAAAACTAATGTATTTTATGGGTCATAAAAATTTAGTTTACATTCATCCTGGAATTCATCATGTTCATGAATTCCAACAAAAAAACGAATGTTTAATTTCTTGTGCGAATTTCATGCAAAAATGAACTGGTTCCTATTTTATTACTAAGCATAAAGAACTGGATAGGCATTTTAACTTAGTCTACTAACCTACATCTGCTAAGCAGATTAGGACTTGTATTATCAATATACAGCTACGATCTACCTGTTTATGCTGTTAGTTGGTTTAAGAGTTACCATGCAAAATGGTGTAATATTTGCCTGCAAATTAAATCAAAATATTAGAAATTATTAGTGGACTTCAGCTGCGTCCACTAAACTGATAGATACTCGGAAACCCATCCTATCTGACTCCGTACGTGATAAGGAGCTTAGTCAGCTTAAGCGCACGCTGGTAAAAAGTCTACGCTATGATTGCAAACAGTGGTGGGTAGCGAAAGCAGAAGAGATAAAAAGGACAGAGACAGTAGGTAACGGTAGATAACGATTGAGACTTATTGAGGTAACCGGTATTAGGAATCCGAATGTTTGTGAGACTATCTCGGAAAAGGATGGGTTTATTCTTCATCTACAATCCAGGAGATTAGACCGGTGGACAGAGCACTTTGAAAATCAGTTCAACTGGCCTTCAGACACACTTCGGTTACCCACGATCTTCAGTCAACCTTAATAGTGAATCGATGTAAGTCTTCCGACCCTCAGTGGAGTTGAAAAGGATATAGGAAATCTAAAGCGAGGCAGTGCAGCAGGCCCTGATAGACTTATTCCTGAGATATCTAAGAATGATTGTCCGATTTCACCGGTCAGCTTGACTGAGATATTAACTAGAATCTGCGAAGTGAACCTAATCCCATCTGACTGATCTCAATCAGTGATTGTCCCAGTCTATAAGAGAGGACAAACGTGCTCTTGTGACAATCACAGAGGCTCAGTTTAACTAATATAGTGTGTAAAATATTGACTTCATTAATACTTGAACGCCTAACTAGAGCTAGTGAAGAGCAGACACGAGGAAACCAGGCTGATTTTCGACCTGGACGTGGATGTATAGACCAGATATCCACTCTTCGTCAGGTCCTAGAATATAGACACACCCTCACACGTCACACAATAGTTGTATTCCTGGACGTTTAAGCAACATCTGACTCTGTTGATCGTGTGGTTTTATGGCGCTGAAAGGAGTACCAGTGAGGTACATTAACCATTTACAAACTCTTTATTCGAACACCACTGGCCGAGTAAGAGTTTATGGCGAATTGTCACCGGAATCGACTACTTCAAGTGATGTCCATTAGTGTTGTAAACTGTCTCCATTCTCATTCAATTTTGTCGTTCATATGCTTTTATAGATAACACTCATCGTCTGACTTTGCAGGAGTTGAAGTTTTACCAGGAGATTCACTTATTGACTGAGAGCACACCGATGACCTAGTTCCATTTGGTGAAGACGCCGAAAAAATGCAGTCTTCTGAACACCTTAAGTAACAATGCTAGAATGTTCGGAGCGCGATTCTCCCCATCGAAATGCAAGCTGTGGCCTCGGGATTGCTATACGTCTGTATCTGAACTAGCGTTAGGGAGTAATGTTGTTGAGCGTGTCGACCGCTCCATTTATGTTGGGATTCACATCAGTGCTAACAGCCTAGTGTCTGACGAAATCTCAGCACGGATACAGAAGGTTCGACTGGCTTTTGCGAACTTTCATCACTTATGGAGTTGGTGAGATATCCGTCTGCAGTTCTTTCCGTCCTACTCTATGGGTGTGAAAAATAGCCAATGAGAAGTGAGGATATTCGTAGGCTGTTAGTGTTCGATTACAGATGTCTTCAATGCACCACTCGTGTATCTTGGGACTACCGAGTAAGCAATGTAGTTGTCAGGAAGCAGGTACTAAGTAAGGATGGCAGGTTAATTGATGAAGTAGTTTATGTTCATCGATTGAGGTAGCTGGTGCACGTGTCACATATGCCCAAACACCAAGTGCATCGACGAGCGATGTTGTGTGATGTAGGAGTAGGTTTGAAGAAAATAAGGAGTTGCCTTAGACCAAAACACGACACAAATCCATGAAGGCATTGACAAGTGAACTGAGCCATATTCATAGGTGTTGACTATCTCGCAGGAGTCCACAAGAAAATCGTAACCGACGGTTGCATACTTTGCAATGGTGTAGGTGCATCCATTGTTTTCTCTCAAATTTTATTCTTCTGTATTCCTCAGAACTTTTCTTCAAATTTATTTCATTAGATTATACTTCTCAAATAATATCTCTGAACCCTTGTCTTCTCCGTAACTGCTAATACTTCTACTACATGTACTACCATGTAAATCGGATTAAAAATTACATCTTTCTGTGCTGATTACGTGTGGCAACTTGCAATGATTTATATACGTATCAAGATTTACGTTGTTCGCTCACTGACTGGATATCCTCCTTAGCTATAGAATGAAGAACAGTGCTATCAAACCTCACTAGATTATTTAGTCTAATTCACTCTTACAACTAAGATCTTACGTATAGAATTAACAAATGCGTCTTAAATGACAATCAAGATATAAAATAGGTTTATGAAGAAGAAAACGAAGGATGACTGAGTTGCTTTAGGAACTATTCAGTATGGTAAAAAGAAGCTAAGATGCATTTAGGAGAAGTCTGGTAACAAAGAAACATTTCTGAACATTCAAATTAGTCTATTAGACGAGTGGATTTGTAACTATTCGAATTAGTGATAGTTGAGATATTTTAAAACAACCAAACTCCAAGTTTTACATTTTCAACCCTCCAATTTGAAATGTTCACGTGTCTTTATACACTAATTTGCTCCAAGGCTTTTTCGATGCTACTATTTTAAGCCCCTTAATTAAATTCAGTACAAAAAACATATCATTTAAACCTGTTTTGCAGTTGATATGATTACGAAAGATCACTAGCTTGATACATTGTCTCCTAGTTTTTAGTACTTGATTCGTGATTAGTGCTTTTATGAGTCGACAAGGAGTAAATAATATTAAGGAAAACTATTCAGCTGGTAAGTACGGAATATTATCAAATCTTTTATATCTTTAAAGCATAGTGTTAGTGTTTCTAACTAGACGTTGTGATTTTTGGTTAGTGAATTAAAATCGAACGCTTGGAATGTTTCCTAGTTAGGATGGATCCCCCAGTCTGAGTCTTAAAAGCAATTGATTTTTAAGCTGCGTCTATGCTACCCATCGTTTAACGCTAGAAATAACGATTTGTAGAATGTCTGTAGATTGGACCGAGAAATTCATACCATAAACATCGGCAAGTTTGTAATTGTAGACTGCAAACATATTATAATCAGCATCCGAACTTTCATATGTTTGTGCTGTTAGTAGTTCATATTGTATAAGCCACTATCGTGTCAATGTGTCATATCAAATCAATTAACCCAACGACATTTATCGAAAACTTGAAAGGTTTAATCAAAAATTTCTAGTGTGTCTTTACAGTGGATAACTCATAAGCAGTATAAATGATAATAAAAATATGCTACATTGGTATCTAGATTCAGCTCATCTTTGTATCATATGAACATAAAATTTATTGATTTTGTGGAGCTGTCTAGTACGGACGTAACTGACTGATCGATAAAGCGTCATTCAGCCCATATTAAGATTGTTTTTGTGCTTGTTTTTCAAAATAAACTTCGAATTATTAAACTGATTACATTATTACATATTTTACACCTATGGTGAAACGATTAAATTTATTATTATTACTAGACTGTACCTTATAATTACTATCACGTAAAATATAAATATTTCCGAATCAATTGCGTAAAAACTGTTATTCTACATTTACTACGTTTTCTTCATTATATTGAGTGTTTGTTGTTCTGTCATTATATTAAATCAAATATAGATTGACATCATTTGCCTATGAAATTGAATGAGAATTTCTTAATTGTTGATTGGCGTGTAAGCAAACATCTTTGTTTGTGTTCGCATACGCTTAGTGAAGCAAGGCTAGCAAAATTACAGTAACAATAATAATCATAGTTTAAGTTGATTCCAACTCATAGCGAACGGAATTTTGAATATTGATTATTATTGTCTAGTTCTTCATCATAATCAAAGCGATAGCTGAGTAATCATTGGTATATGGAATTCTTCTTTATTAGGGCCTATGGAATTGAAATTTGATATTACTTAGTTTTTCACAGGTGTACAAGTCAGCATGATGGAATATAGACAAATCAACCTGATATATCCTTAATAAAATTCCTAAATTCATATGATTAGCACTTTTTGTTTTCTGAATCGCTCTTCTACTGTTATAAGCTGGTAATTCTAGCTGTCCTCTTGAACTCTATCTACTACGGCTACCATAACTGATAACAGTTATAATAATTGGTGCTCCATATCTCTGCGGTAATTATCACAATACACACGGAAACTTACTTCAACAACCTAATTTATATGCTATGCGTTTAACACTAAAATTTTATCTTGTTTTTTCAATTTTTTTTTTCATAGACGTTATTGTTCTATCGTAGTAACTCATTTATTTTGATTGCTTACTTTATAATTTCAATTATTAGTTGATAAAGTTATTTTAAACTATCTGATTTGTTTTATTAAATGCAATACTTTGTTTAATTGTCGTACTTGACCAAGAATCATGTTTAATTTTGTGCCTAGCATTCAAATGGTAAAGGTGTTTGTGAACTTTCATCTTCACCATCAAAAAGATCTGTGGATCGTCCACTCGGTGGGATAGCTTTATTTGGTTCGGGTGAGTGAATTATTTTTTAGAAATTTCGAATCCTATCAGATTCACGTGTGACTAGATATTCGTTAAGTTCCTTAATGCAATTTTTCGGATTACATATAACTCACCGTAGTATGGTACTGTTTCTTCTAAAAACAATTTCCAAGACAATGAATGGAGTAGCCTTTTGTTTTGGGTATTACAGAATTTTCTGGATATAGATTAACTAGTACATAATAACTCATATACCGTTTTAGTTGACAGTTATATATATAGTGTGGCTGTCTATTGAAAAAATAGATCATTTTATCATGAAGTATCCTAAGCGATCTTCATGAAAGTTTAAAGATGAAAGTAGTTTACGGATTTGAAGCGTGAGAGAATTACATTCTTAACGAGTATGAAAAAGTTGGAGGAAAAGTAAATACGTACGGGTCATACTAATAAATGATTTGTAAGTCTGAAAGATCAGAAGAGGAAATTAAGAGCAATTACTGAGTATAAAGTATTGGGACTCTAGGTCGATAATAAAATGAGAAACTTCTCGTACAGATTTTTCATGGAGAATTCAAATTTGAAAGACTGCATTACTAAACTCTCTTTAGTTTGCAAGTTTTCAATCCGTACTCCTTATGATATCAACTCTTTGACCGTGCTTATTTTTTTGAACGATATATGTGTTGGGAGAACTTGGACAGAAATGACGATATGTTCCATTACTTAACTGTGCGCCAAGAGGGCGAGCCACAAACACTGATAAAGAAGACGGCTGTACGGAGATCAGAAAGACTACGACGACAGCTGATTAAAAGGGGGGACGAGTGTGGTGCTGTGGTGCGAACTACTTATAAGTAGTATATAACGTGAGTGTCAACGTAAAGTCTGGTAGCATAATATGGGGGGAAGATCAAGAAAGGAAGAGTTAGAAAACAATGGAATTTGTATGAAACGCATGAATAGTGACAATGGATTGATGTTTGGCAACAGGAACAGTCCAGTTCGATATGATGAACTGATCTTTTGCAAATGAACGATTTACGATATGGTTTTCCGATTTTACTGAGTAACTCTCATTCACTACATTTGGATCGTTTTGGATCATCTTTAAGTTAGCTTTACATAGTAGTGCTCAGAGATGTGTTCAGAAAGAGCTCACTTTGTGAAGTTGATGTAATCTGCTCTAATAAAGGATGTAAACTACTAGATACATATTCGTTTAGCCCAAAGCGTCAGTTTACCCTTTAACACATCCATGAATCAGATGACAGTTGAAGAAGACATCACAAAACTCAGGGAAATAAAATATAATTCTTAAAAACTTCAAAATCCTGTTTCTCAACATTTTTCCTACATCCTTTCTTTTCAAGTTCAAAGTTTAATAAAATAGTACACATAGATATATCGAGAACCCATTAACTTTAACTTACAACTTTGTGAAAAAAGCCCTATGGTTTATCACTTTGTAAATATGAAATTTGTTCAGTCATAAATATCGTAACACCACGGAGTTTAGTAGGTTTATATGCAAAATATCAATATTTATATCGTAATATAAAGGCGATTGGATTATTTAGCATTATATACCCACGAAATAATCCGTAATTTTTATTAATGCTTGTAGATTAAGAAGTGGATTGTAGTGATGCAAAGTGTTTAGTATCTATACAACTTTAGAGAATAATGAATTAAGTTTGAGTTTTTCTGACGGTTCCACAATGCTGCAGGCATTCCCGAAAACGACTATGACATTTATTTTGACTTAATATTCTTCGTATTGTTTGGGAACACCTGAAACTTTGGAAGTAATTCAATCTTTGTTGACATGTATGCACAGAATTAGTGAATTTTAGTCCTCAATATCAACAACTGAATCATACAAACACTTACGAATACAATTCATACCCGCTGGATAAAGCTGTGGCTTTCTGGACTCAGAGGTTCAGTAGGTAACACGTTGGTGTTAAGTACTGGGTCAAAGTCTCATCATAAACATTAGCTATGGGATGTAGGTACATCCAGCTAACAGATTTAAGGCAGGACAAACGGAGAGCTCTGAGTCTCAAAGTTAGCCACAATCTAAATGCACTGAAAACTCGTCACATAATATCAATACCCTGACATCCACTCAGGCTAAACATAAAAGAGTTACCATATTCCAGTCCTCAACGTCGACAACTAGATTATATGAATTCTTTTGAAAAGATCAAACCATAAACTGTGAGTTCTATTCACTTGGTCGCCTACATTTTATTCTTAATACGACTGATATTTGAATGGTTCAACACCTTAATTACTAAATTATCGATTAACCGAGTTTATTTGTTAATAAATTCCCCGATCCTTACTTATTAGACTCACAATCGTCTCACTTTGAAATTTTCTTCATTTGTGAGCTTTCTTTGACCAAAGTTATCACATAAAAGTAGGAGAAAATAAGCGAATTTTTCAGGTCTCGCTTGTTAGTAAGTAGACTAGAATTTTTAAGTGGTGCACCAACCTCATTTCTCATTTTTTGACGCTCATTCTTTCGACCGGAAGACAGGTCATGTAACTATTTACGCTAACTAGGCTCTCGCATCAAATATAAATGTTTATATAAGTGTCATAAACTTTACCAAACATTTCGTTTTTATTTACCAACAGATATTTTTTATGACTTCAGGAAACGAACTTTTGTGTGAAATGAAAAATCGCCTAAAATTAAGATCAACTGAACACTCAGACACTAAAGAATTGCCTTCAGAAATTTTGATGAATCATGAAGTTGAACAACTAGAACCATCTTCATACGACAATATGTCTTCTAGTGTGTCAACTAATTCCAGTCCCAGATCATCAATATACGATGATGTTGAACAATCTGAGTTCAAAACAGTGTCAGATATTTTATTGGTGAGTAATGTATTATCTGTTGGTGACTTATAAGTTTTCGCTCATAATCCCAAACGATGTACACTCTTAATATGCAATCACTTATCAATTAATTTTCTGTCGACTTTCATCAAGTTATTGGAAAAGTTTTCAGATTGAAGCCTTGAAATGAATAAATATTTAAAAATGCCGATGATAAAAGCGTGAATTTACAAGTTGGAAGTACAGTTTTCTATGTATCGAACATTGAGTTGGGGTTTTTTATTTATACTTTCAGATAGATATCATTTTCAATGAAAACAACATTAGAAGAAGTATCTGAATAATTTTTGATTCCTTAAAGATACTAATATCTTGTTTTCGTGAAAGTGACTTTGAGTAGGTCAGTGGATAAAGTGTGGCAGATCTCTTGAAACTAAGTGATGCCATAATTGGTCGTCTTTGGAGTAAGTAAGATGTTTCATATTAGAAATAGGAGTTTACTTTATTTTCACATAACCTGTAGTTTTAGAAATGACACACTTGAGGTCTTAACACTATTTTAGAAAAATAATTAAGGATGTGATGGAGAATAAGACAGTAAGAAACCAGTCTTGTCATAAAATCATGACATATCGAATCCAACTGGATTAAATAACACTAACACAGGACTCCTAACAGTTACACAAAAGAATAAATCACTCATCCTTCCTCCTCCATCAGTATTTTCTTATTCCTACTTATCAGTAATCAGCACAAGTTCCTAGTATTTATACAGACAAATAATTCAGAGACATAATATGTCCTCAAATTCTCCGGTTATAGTACTTGAAGTTCACCTCAATCTTGAGATTTTTGATTTTAGACATGAATTTTCTTTGAGCGTGTAAAAAATGTATATTCTACACCTTTGAGTAAGCCGTTTGACTGTTAATCTCTTTGCTACGGTGCATTTTTCACTACTTTCTCACTAAAAAAGGAATTTCATCAACGTTTGTTGTTAGTTTTGGGGAAGTTAGATCCTCACAACTCACTTGGGAAAGGTCCTAACTTTGTAATTTATTTCTGAAATTTTGAATTTCCATTTTTTCGAGCCAAGAGACGCTTAGTTGACCCATAGCATACATTTCCTACTCGGAAATCCATGATTGCAATTGATTGACGGATTTTTTTAGTTCGCTGTTTTGTGGCTCTCCCAAGGGTGTTTCTATCGTTGTATAAATAAGCTTGATTTATGTGCTTAGCAACCTCGTATTTTCTGGGTGCTTGTAGTTTGTTGTATTCATAAATGTTTGTTTTCTACGCCCCGAAAGAAATTCATAAACTCAGCGCGAATCCTATATTTTAGAACTCAAGCGTAATGTGATCTATCGTACTAGTAATTCTCGCTATAAATTTGAATACAGAAAAAACAATGATTAACTCAGGATAAGATGAATACATTTGTATTTCTTGGGTTTTTATCAGCTGCTTACAAATGTATTTATATTAAAATATAACATTGGTGACTAAAATCTGATAAAAGCAATTCGATAATCATTATAGAATATTTAAAGAGTTTTGAGAATTTGGTGAGTGGAAATCATAAATGGTTAAAAAGGTAACTTTAATGTGGAGGGAATAACAGCTAAGCGAAAATCGCACAATAAAATGCAATGAATAATAACAATAATGATGATAATATCATTGATTATAATCGTTGCAAACCATGTAATCGAAAACACCAATTTACCAAGAGACAGCTATGTCTTTCTGAATGAACAATTTGGTTGAATTCTCTTGATATATGCTTCTTCTGATTGGCGTAAGAAGTTACACTTTTTAACTATTTAACTATTTTGAAATCTCAAAGAATTTCGATAATATGATGGCTGTCAATTAAATGTTTTGTTAGAGCACTGTCTAGAACCATGATACCTTTTAATCTCGATTTTTTTTGGATGTACTCGGAAATACGAATAGGTTCATCCCCGTGTTCTTCCAACATGTGTTTAAGAAAGTTCATGGAAATTTTATAGATGCAGTCGGAGGCACTGTGAACAGGGGATTCGTTGATTTTTGTTCGTTAAAGTGAGCAGTTTGTTTCATGGAAAAGCAATCTGAAGTCTTGTATTTAATCTGAGATGAATTAGTTCAATAATTTCATGCGCTTTGAAGCTTGAGTTTAAGGACTATGCTTTCTTTTTAACTGTGTTGTTCTTGATACGTTCATTTTCGATTTTAGCTTACTTATTGACGGATTTCGGAAGGCATCCACTTTTACGTAGACAATTTCCTCTTTTAGTTTTTCCACGGAACTAAGTTTACGGCCACAATCGAAACAGTATCGTATATACTAAGTGTAACACGTAAGGCCCCACTTAGATGTTTATATTTATTTGTAAATAAATATTTCCATTAGTTTAGAAATATAGTCTATAATATGTTTTGTCCCATACATGCGGTTTGTTATCCTTACGCATTTGTGTTTTCTCATGAGTACATCTAAAATTCACATGGGTTTGAAAAAATTATCCAACAATAACTGTCATATTAATTCTAATGTGAAGAATACATTTTTATTTTTATTATGACTAATAATAATATTATTATTATATTGGTACATTTGTATTCACACAGAATCGCGCACGTAAACCTCCAACACGGAAACCAACTTTGAGTCGTAGCCTAGACGCTCCAAATAGACAACCACTGAATACTTCTAGTACTTCATGTTTATCTCATCTAGACGATAATTCTCCCAAAATACTCGATGGTTTAACAGAATTTTTCAATTCAAACGGCTAACTGCCCTACAGGTAATTCATTTTTGACTGATAATTTTACGTAAGTAGTTTGAACCTTGAAAGGCTTCCCATTTATACGACTTTCACATATAGGTAGTCTTTTTCAGATTGAATCTCACTGGAAACATAACCAGCGTTATTGTTACCAGCCAAAATTAATGGTTGTCTAAAATATTCCTTTTATCAGTGTTTGTCATTACTTTCTTGTATTATTTTTAAACTTGATTGGTAAGTGTAATATAACACAACGAATAAAGTTCTAAAATATAAAACCGATAAACGTTGCTCTACAGTGAACTGGTAAAACATTGCAACTTATGACTCGCACAAACGTACACTGATAAGATTTTGTAGGTTTTCATAGGATGTCAGATAAAAATATTCTATCAAGTCACCAGGTAGAATACTTACTAAGGTCACGGTTGTGTATTTCGCCGCCGAAATACTGGTTTTGTACTCCTTCCTGAAATGATCATGTGACTGACATTTGTTATTTTCAATGATTTTGCTGATGAAATCTTAGCAGATATACGTTTTTGATAGAACATATTTTCCTTAGATTAAACGCGCTGCACTAGCTGTCTTCTGAATTTCCTATTTTCTTGTCATGGTAAGAAAGCAATCTACTTTTTCTTTCTGCCCGAATTGAAATTGTGAATTTTGTCTCCAACTTATAGCAGTCATTTCCTTCTGTTGGTGACACCTTGTGTATTTATTTGACTTAATAGTTAGATACCAAGAAATGGAAATTCTAAGCGAATTGTCTGCAAATATATACGTGGTACATATATAAACGATCTTCGATTAACTGGTATATTTCATTGTATTTGACCGTAAGCTTATTTCGTACAAAAGTCTGAAGAAATACCTTTTATCGATTAATGGGCTAACCAAATGATGTATTCTCCAACTTACTTACTTACTTAGGCCTGTTACCCCCAGTGGAGCATAGGCCACCGGCAAGTATTCTACAATCTACTATGTCCTGAGCTTCCTTTTCAGTTCTGTCCGATTGCTGATCATTCTTCTCATGTCTGCCTTCATTTTTCGGCGTAATGTATTCCTTGAACCTCCTCTTTTCCTTTGATCTTGAGAATTCCGAGTGAGGGCTTGTGACGCAGTTGGGTGCTTTCCGCAATGTGTGTCCTATCCACTCCCACCGCTTCTTCCTGATTTCTTCTTCCACTTGAATCTGGTTTGTTCTCCCTCACAGTAGATTGTTGCTGATGCTGTTCGGCCAACGAATACGAAGTATTTTGCGTAGACAACTGTTAATAAACACTTGTATCTTATGGATGATGGCTTTCGTAGTTCGCCAAGTTTCCGCTCCATACAGTAGAACTGTCTTTACATTTGTATTGAAAATCCTGATTTCGGTGTTGGTTGATAGCTGTTTGGAGTTCCAGATATTTTTCAACTGTAGAAATGCAGCCCTTGCTTTGTCGATCCGCGCCCTCACATGTGCATCGTATCCACCTTGATTGTCGATGATGCTGCCCAGATATGTAAAGGTGTTAACGTCCTCCAAGGCATCTCCATCAAGAGTGATTTGGTTGGTGCATGTTGTGTTGCATCGGAGAATTTTGCTTTTTCCTTTATGTATGTTGAGACCTACTACTGCGGAGGCTGCTGCTACACTGGTCGTTTTCTCTTGCATTTGTTGTTGAGTGTGCGATAGAAGAGCCAGGTCATCCGCGAAGTCCAGATCGTCCATCTGCGTCCTAACTGTCCAGTTGATACCGTGCTTCCCTCCAGATGTCGACGTCTTCATAATCCAGTCGGTGGGCGGGAGAAAGAGAAAGGGTGAGAGTAAGCAACCTTGTCTGACACCGGTCTTCACCTCGAACGAGTCTGTTAGCTGTCCTTCGTGTACGATTTTGCAGTTTAATCCATCGTAAGAATTCCTAATGATATTGATTATCTTCTCAGACACGCCGTATTGTTGAAGAAGCCTCCATAGTGTTTTCCTGTCCACGCTATCGAATGCATTCTCGTAGTCAGTGAAGTTGGTGCAGAGTGGTGAGTTCCATTCAATTGATTGTTCCACAGTGATCCGTAATGTTGCGATTTAGTCGGTACACGATCAATCCTTACGAAATCCAACCTGTTGATCTCGAAGTTGGGCATCTACGACGTCTTTCATTCTATTTAGCAGCACCCTGTTGAGGACTTTGCTTGGTATCGAGAGAAGAGTGATGCCTCTGTAGTTCTCACACTTGCTGAGATCGCCTTTCTTTGGAATTTTGATGAAGTATCCTTCTTTCCAGTCTGATGGTGCTTGTTCCTCATCCCAAATCTTGTTGAGGAGAATGTGAAATATTTTCGCAGTTGCTTCCACATCTGCTTTAACTGCCTATGCTGAAATGTTGTCTGGTCCCGCTGCTCTGCCACTCTTCATTTGTCTGGTGTACATACTGATCTCTTCGATTGTTGGTGGGCCGACATCGATTGAGAGGTCCGCGGATGCTGCTTCGATGTTGGGTGGGTTCGGTGGGGCTGGTCGACTCAAGAGTTCCTTAAAGTGCTCTACCCACCCATTTCCCTTTTCGTCAATATTGCTGATTACTTTGCCTTCCTTACTTTTCACTAGTCGTTCTGGTTTACGATAATTTATAACGAGCTTGTGGTGGTGTTTCGTTCGTTGTTTTGGTTGTGGAGCTTTCATTGTTCTTCTGAACAACATCATCAGCACAAACTTCAGATAGAAGTGAAGCATTCGAGTTTCTCCAGGTTTGACCTGTAGCTTGTTCTGCTAACCTCGATCTTGATTGGTTGCTGTCGACCTTTGACCTGTCGTTGTTTGCAACTTTGTTTTGATTGCCTCCCGCTTTTGATCTGTTTCTTGATCTTGTGTCACCTATGATTTTCCTGATTGGTTGATAAATTGGGTCAATGTCGATGTGTTTGTTGATTGCTAATTGACCTGAGTGCCAAGCTTCTAAAAATTCTCTAGTGTTCTTTTTCCTCCCCCTACACAGTATTTCCGCATTGTTCCAATCAAATGTTTATCCATAGTTGTCGGTGTGTATTGATATAAGCGAAGCGTTGTCATGGCGTTTGACTGCTAATTGATGTTCACGTAAACGGAGCTGAAGAGGTCGTCCACTTTGTCCTATGTAGTGTTTTTCACAGTTTCAGCAATTTATTTTTTAGATGATATTTGGTTTTTCTTCCTTTGTCATTTAGTCCTTTGGTCTACACAGAATTGATTGAAGTGATTCTGTTGGTTTGTGTGCCTCACCTATTCCAAATGGTTTCAGTAGTCGTGCCGTATGCTCCGATATGTCTTTGATGTATGGCAGGATGATGCGTTTATTTGTTCCTGTGCTTGATTTCGCTTCTGATGGTGGTTTCGGTTGATGTTTTCTGATGAATTTGCGTGGATAGCCGTTCTTTTGGAAGATAGTCGTCAGGTGTTTTTCCTCGTTTTTTAATGTTTCGTATGTGCTGCAGTGTGTCTTCGCTCTCTTGAACAGAGTTTGTATGCAGTTAATCTTATGGGTTCTTTGGTTGTTGCTATCGTAGTTGAGAATTACGTCGGTGTGGGTTGGCTTCCGAAATACTTGAGTTTCTAGTTTTCCATGTTATTTCTGGTGATTAGTACATCCAGGAATGATAGGCTGTTGTTTGATTCCTTTTCCATCGTGAATTTGATGTCATCAAAGACGTTGTTGATCAGATTGTAGATGTTCTCCAGCTCATTCCTTTTGATAATAACGAATGTGTCGTCTACATAGCGGACCCACATTTTTGGCTTTATCACTGGCAGGATTGACGCTTCCAGTCTCTGTACTACAGCTTCGACGATGAGTCCTGATATTGGTGATCCCATTAGTGTTCCTTTTATTTGTTCGTAGACTCTTGTTGAACTGAAGATACGTTGTTAAGCATAGGTCAATGAGTTCAAGCAAGCTTTGACTCTGAAGCTTTGTATATTTTTGTAGATTTGTGTCGTTGATGAGGAGCAGAGAAAGAGTTTCTTTAACCAAGTTTGGCTCTATTGAGGTAAATAAGGCTGAAACGTCGAAGGATATCATCATTTCGTCGTTTTCAATTTGAATCCCCTTGAGTTTATCCAAGAATTGTGTGGCAGACTTAATGGAGTAGTTGGATTCGTCCACCAGATGTTTTAATATCCTTGAAATTTCTCTTGATAAGTTGTAGGTCGGGGTTCCGGTGAGGGATACAATAGGACGTAATGGAACGTTAGGTTTGTGGAGTTTTGGCCTACCGTAGAATCGTGGAATTATTGGTCCATTGGATTTCATTCGCCATTGATCTTGTTTTGATGTTTGTCCTGCTTGGACAAGCCTATTTAGAGTCCTTGAGATTTGACTGTCCAACTTTTTTATAAGGTTGTGTCGACTGGTTTATATACGCTTCTTTCCTGAAGTAGATCCTCGGCTTTCTTGATATATTCCTGCTTGTCCATGATTACTGTTGTGCGTCCTTTGTCCGCTGGAACTATGACTATATCTTCCATGGTTTTGAGTTTCTTTAGAGCTTTTCGTTGTTGTGCTATTAGTTGGTTGTTGTCTCTCTCCCGTCGAGTTAGTGGTACTATGGTTTGCCTTATTTCTTGTTGAGTTTCTTCACTTATTCCTGCCGTTTTGAGTGATGACTCTAATGCCGCGAAGAATTCCAGTTTTGAAGCGTCCTTTGTGTTATAGTTTAATCCTTTTTGGAGCAGTTGTACTTCTGTTGTCGTTAGATGTTGCTTCGATAGGTTGACCACACAACTGTTTGCGTTTTCTTCTGTGGGTGGTTTTGAAATCTTGATTAGTTTGTCTTTGAGGATGCTTCTCCTTTGTTCTCTGTGTCGTCTGCTTGACAGTTCAATCGCCGTTGTCAACGTTGTTAAGTGTTCTGATGTAAGTATTCTTTCTAGTTTTCTTTTTTGTTCATCCATGTTGTGCTGATATTTGTGGATCCTGTAGTGATCCTGTAGCGAGCTTCTTCGTCGTATCGTACAGTTAGTTGTCGCAAGTTTCCTTTTCTTGCAGCCTTTTTCGCCATCATCGCTAGATATTCCACATATTTGCATTTGTCGGCTCTGATGTTCTGCTTCACTTTCCTCTTTACGTCTGTGTATTCAGCTTGTGCCTTAACTTTCTCTGCTCTTGTTCGTCTGACATTGACTGCTGCCCTCTTGTTCCTTGTTCAAGAGTACCAACAGAGATCCATTCCTTGTGATGGTGCTTCTTGTGACCCAGGACCTCCGGACATGTTGAAGTGATTGCCTCCTTAATCCCTTCCCAATTTTTCTCCAATGTTCGTTCCTCTCCATTAAGTGGATCGTGCAAAGCCTGGAACCTATTGATGAGGGCTATCTTGAATTCGTTGAGTTTCACGGTATCCTGA